CTCCAGGAGGGTCCCCCGAACCCCCTCCCAACCCTTTTCCCACCCCAGGAAGGTCCCCTAAACCCTCTCCCAGCCCTCAGCCCCCCCCAGGAGGCAGCTTTGGGGGGTGTTTTTAGGGGCTGAGTCTCCCCAGCACAGTGTGGGGAGGTTTTTAGGGGCTCCCAGATGTAATTTAGGGAGGTTTTCAGGGGCTGAGCCTCCTCCATGTCTTTAGGGTGTTTTTTAGGGGTCGAATCTCCCCCGAGCAGTTTCGGGGTGTGTTTTTAGGGGCTGAGGCTCCTCAATGTCTCTCACGGTGTTTTTTAGGGGCTGAGTCTCCCCAACACAGTTCAGGGAGGTTTTCAGGGGCTGAGACTCCTCAGTGTCTCTCAGGGTGTTTTTTAGGGTCTGAGTCTCCCCGGAGCAGTTTGGGGAGGTTTTTAGGGGCTCCCTGATGGAGTTTGGGGTTTGTTTAGGGGCCGAATCTCCCCGGAGCAGTTTGGGGAGGTTTTCTGGGGCTCCCTGGAGCAGTTCGGGGAGGTTTGTATGGTCTGAATCTCCCCAGAGCAGTCTGGGAAGGTTTTCAGGGGGCTGAGGCTCCTCACTGTCTTCCAGGGTGTCTTTTAGGGGCCGAATCTCCCCAGAGCACTTTGGGGTGTGTTTTCAGGGGCTGAGGCTCTTCAACGTCTCCCAGGGTGTTTTTTAGGGGCCAAATCTCCCCAGAGCAGTTTGGGGAGGTTCTCAGGGGCTCCTTGCTGCAGTCTGGGGAGGTTTACAGGGGCTCCCTGATGTAGTTTGGGGTTTGTTTAGGGGCTGAATCTCCCTGGAGTAGTTTAGGGAGGTTCTCAGGGGCTCCCTGCTGCAGTTTGGGGAGGTTCTCAGGGGCTCCCCAAAGGAGTTTGGGGTTTGTTTAGGGGCTGAATCTCCCCAGAGCAGTTTGGGGAGGTTCTCAGGAGCTCCCCAGTGCAGTTTGGGGTTTGCTTAGGGGCCGAATCTCCCTGAAGCAGTTTAGGGAGGTTCTCAGGGGCTCCCCAGTGCAGTTTGGGGTTTGCTTAGGGGTCAAATCTCCCCGCTGCAGTTTGGGAAGGTTCTCAGGGGCTCCCCAGAGCAGTTTGGGGAGGTTCTCAGGGGCCAAGGCCCCTCTCTGTGTCCCAGGGTGTCCTCCAGGGTCCCGATTCCCCCGGGAACAGCATCCCAATCCCCGGGGCAGCGTCCCTCTGCCCCAGAGCAGCATCCCAATCCCGGGAACAGCATCCCAATCCCGGGAACAGCATCCCACTCCCCAGAACAGCATCCTTAGCCCTTGTTGAAGGCGGCCAGCACGGCCCAGATCATCTCCGAGCCCCCCCGAGCCTTGGCCGCCTCGAGCTCGGGGTCAGTGTCCAGCAGGTCCCTGGCCCTGGCCATGGCCAGCTCGTACCTGTCGTCGGCCAGGCCCCCGAAGACGCCCTCCAGGACGTCGGAGGAGTGGGCGAGCACGAGCAGGGCGAGGGTTCGGGGCTCCAGGCGCCGCGGGTCGCGGGCCCAGCGCTCCAGGACACTGTCCTGCAGCCGCCGCTGCAGCCGCAGCTTCTCGGCGCCGTTGCTCAGGGGGTGGGTGGTCATGTCGAACAGGAGGAAGTTTTGTTTCTCCGTGCTCAGGATCCCCTTCTCCACCAGGGCCTTGGCCAAACGCTCCCGCACGTTGCGCAGCTGGAACTGCAGCTTGAACGGGTTCCACGTCTCCCCTGGGGAACAGAGAGTGTTGGAGAGATTTTATATATATATAAAATACACATAAAAATATATGTATTATATAAAAATAATAAATATGTATTATATATGATATATTATATATATTATATATTTATATTATATATCATATATTATATACTATATATATTACACA